CGCAAATTACTGCACGCAAAATTGGATCTTGATATATCCGGCCCATAGACTTTTATCATCTGGAGAAAATTCTCTTTAGTCTGAAAAGGGCTGCCTACAAAAATCTGTAATGTAATTGTTGATAATATAATTTCTTATTAAATATATACATTTCAAGATCACAAACTGGGAAAAGATGATTTCTTTTGGTACTTGCAGGTGAGACACTATTTCAACAGTAACATTAAAGAGGTGCTGAAAAAGAGCGAGTCAAGTTTAATGGAGGCATTTTTATCACTAATTAAACCCGGATCAGACGGCAAAATCATCTCCAAATTATATAAGGCCATACAACTGTCTAAACAAGAGAATACAGAATACATAAAGAGGAAGTGGGAAAAAGAAATTAAGGTTAAAATCTCACAAGAGAGCTGGTAGGAAATTTCTCAATTGCAGTGGGTCTCGACCAGATCAAACACATGGCGGGAGTTCTGCTGGAAAAACATCGTATATTTTAATTACACCCATTCAGAGACGATATCAAAGACTCTGTGGGTATGAAGGAGCTAACCACTTTCACATTTTTTGGGACTGTCAGGTAATAAAACTATATTGGGAAGAGTTCCACAAGCATATTGAAAATATATTCAGTGTAGGTATTCCATTAAAATGTGAAACATTGTAACTGGGAAATCTACAATTGGACACATGGACTAACAAAGACAAAAAACTGCTGGCTACACTACTGGCTGCCAGTAAGAAGGCCATCACAAGGAAATGGATGAAACCAGACCCACCCACTATTGATGAATGGATTGAAATTTTTTACCAGATTTATGTGATGGAAAGAATCTGTTTTTCCCTCCAATTAGAAAAAGAAAAGTTTTATAAGATTTGGTCCAAATGGACTGAGTATGTGAAACCAATTAGATCTGACTTTATTTGATTGTTATTCTGAAATATGTCTTGCCCTCTAATGTCTTTGTGGTTTTTTTATTACTCGAGGTGGTGCAATACCCATTACTGTTTAATTCTGTTCATTTTTTTGTTATCTTTACGATTAAGTTAGTGATATTCTGTGAAAAATAACAGAAAGGCAACATGGACAAAATCACTTGGACTTTCTGCTTATATCTTCAGTTATAATTGTAAATGGATGAAGATGTGATTACTGATGTAATGGAAATCTGTCTTTCTAAATAAATAAATAAATAAATATATACAAATCTGTTATGCCTCAGACTGACATCTACATTATCAGAGGTGCAAAACGACATCCGTATCTGTTTTTAATGTTGTCAGTCATACAGGAAATTTGATAAAGGAATTAATGTAAAAAAGGGTTTGGACAACCCACATAAATATATAACAAATAATGTATTGAAAGTAATTTAATGTAAAAAAAAAAATGATTAATTTGGACTTCATTTATGTAATAATCTGATAAAAGAAAAGGCGTTACCACAGTGAGCAGTGGCATCAACTGGCATGCAGATTGTTAGAACGTTTTTAGAGCTCAGTCAAAAATTTTTCAGAGGCAGCTGTTTAAACTATTTAGAATACAATCAGACTCCTCTATAAGACAGATGTGTTACCTTAGCAATTGTCAGCCAGTAGAGACAAAATAGATACCTAACATTGAAGGAGCTCCGATATAAAGGTGGTATCAGTATCCAGACAAAGTGATGTCACGCTGCAGTGGGTGGCAACATGGCTGATTTCTCAGCAAACCTTGCAGCCACTGCCTGTTTTCCAGGCTGATAAGGCTCCCATTTGGCATAGATAAACCTGGATGACAAACCCAGAGATAATGGGATACAGTGGCTGAAGTTGTACAGGCCACTGACTGACTGACTGAGAAGAGCCAAGATCAAAGAAAACACATGTGGATAGTTTGTAGAGTCTTAAAAAAAGACTCCTTGATGTGCGAAGAAAGATACCTATCAGAAGTGAAAGTGACTTTTATCTACTTCATAATAAAATGTAACTTTTTATTTGACATCGCAATGGTAGTAACAATGTAATAGTAATGGTAGTACCAGTTAATTGAGTAGGAAATGACTGTGGCATGGCTTTCGTCTTTTTTCTAAAAGTATGTAAAAGTAACAAAAAATACATTAGAATAGATAAATATAAATAAATATAAATAAAAACTATGACTAAATATCAAAATTAATTGAATGTATATTTAAATAGATATCTACAGTATCTTACAGTTTGTCATGATGAATAAGATGCATTTCTTCATTCAGAAATGTAATTGGAAAAACACACAATCAGAAAATCCAAACAGGATTTCAAGTTTTTGAAACAAAGACTTTCCTTGGCAAAATGTTGTTCTGTAATCAAAACTCTTAAATCACCCCCTAAAGCATTTTTCATCAAAATGACCAAATCACATATACAGCAGCTCAAAACTCTGAGATCTGCTCTCATTAACTGCAAATCTCAGAGATTTGCAAGTATTCTGGGTTCATACTTTAGACACAACGACCACAGCATGTAACCCATTCCCCAATCCCATGAACGAATTCTGCTAAAGTTCAAGGACAACTCCTGCTTTGCAATCAAATTGCAGCTCTAAAGCACTTTTTCAAAACGCTACACACAATTCCCTGATTTTTGGCACAACTTTCATGCAGAAAATATCTTGTTCCCAAAGAACACAGAAACATTCAAATATGCACACTAACTCATCACAAGGGCAGTTTTCCAATCAGCAATCAGAGCTTTAGCATATAGGGGCAACAGGTGATCTCTTTAACAGAGCCATGGATGCCAACACTGGAAAAGTTACGGACAAAGGACCGTAATCTCTGATGAGATCCGAGCCACTTTGGTTGATCATGTGGTCAGCCACGGTCTAACAATGATGGAAGCTGGGCAAATAGCACAGCCAAGTTTGAGCAGTACACTGCAGCGTCCATCTGTTCTTTCTGAAATGAGAATAGGTAAGAGGTCTACTACTTTTTACCGTGTATATGTGTGTTCTTGTGTATTTAATATCTGTACTAAGTGTAAAAGTGGAAAAAAAGGTCTATGTCCTTATGATGAATGGAGAAGAAGTGTCATGGTCATCATAGAGCACATCACCCCAGTTCTAAAGTCCTTACATTCGCTCCCTGTATCTCAGAGAATAGACTTTAAAATACTTCTGTTATTCTATAAATCTCTGAATGGCTTAGCACCTAAATACATCACAGACTTGCTCTGCATACCTAGAACCAGAACTAAACATGGAGAAGCAGCATTTAGTTCCTATGCTCCACTTATCTGGAACAAACTTCCAGAAAACTGCAAAAGTGCGGAAAGCCTGAGTTCCTTTTAATCAAGACTAAAAACACATTTGTTTAGGATTGCCTTCCACTGTTCTAGTAAAACAGTTCAACTAAAACATCATTAGTTCAACTTTTTTATTTTATTTAGTCCAAATTTTTTTAATATTCTTTTTTGTTTCTGCATTTTTTATTTTTTATTTTTTTCTACTTGCTTTGATTCTGTTTTATTTTCCTGTATTTTAATCATGCAAAGCACTTTGCATTGTCTTTGTACTGAATTGTGCTATACAAATAAATTTGCCTTGCCTTGCCTTGCCTTTCCTTGCCATAGTGATTTACATTGAGGACATCAGTGTTAAACTGGTTCTTATGGATCTCTATTCATATGATCTGTGTGTCATTTGGAAACAAAATACTATTTTGGGAAGAAAAGGAATTGCTTTGAATGTAAAGTTTCATTTTGTAAGAGAATCAAGGGTTTTTTGCTTTTTGTGTGTATTTTTTTTACTTGTGTGTGGAGTTTAGTTAGTTTGGATATATGGAGGTTAAATATTTTTACATAAATGTAGAATTTGCATTATATTTATTTACTCAACTTGATTTTTGCCATCCTGTTTCTTTATCTTTTTTTTTTTTTTTTTTTACACGTCTTTGGTTACTGTAATATACCTTTAACAGAGGTCCAATTGATTGCTAATAACCTAAGGATATCTAAGTTTAGGTGCCCTAAACCCCTATGATTACCTCTTTTTTTTTTCTTACCAGAAACAAAAAACTAAGCTTTCCTTAAGAATCCTGTATATTATTTCGTGCCTCTGACTGTCTGCTCAATCCCCTTTATTTATGATTCATGTGTAAAAACAGTAAAACAAAAGTCATTTATTTTCCAAATAGATAGATAGCGGAGTGGTCCCAAGGTGTCTATATTCAAGACCAAAATACTTTTCCAAATTGTTGCACTGGCCAAAGTGATTTTAGCGAAGCCGTGTGTCTCTGTATGATTCCTGAGTTTAGAGTTTTTAGAAATAGTTTGAAAAGTGTGTGAAATTATGAGAAATATTCAAAGTGATTTGCAAACAGAGACAGCTATTGAAATATAAGTTTGAAGAACACGACTTGAACCACGTTTCAGTAAATGAACTAAATCAGAAAAACTGGAATATAAACTGATGAGCTGAGCTAAAAACGACTTATTTTCTCATTCTTTCAATATCAAATATGCTTGTTTGATTAGGTTTGCTTCACTATAACCTACATATAAGTACACATATGTAATGTATGTTATAATTTTTAATTCCACAAAGCTCAACACCTGTGATGGTAACATGATAAAGAACTGGTTCATATCTGCTTCCTCCTGTCCACCAGCTGTGAATGTCTGCTTTGCTCATTAGTTAAAATAATAAGTCTTTCTGGATCTGAGTGGTTCTTGATTGTATAGATCCTTGTCTCACCAGCAGAGTACTATAACACAGTTGGAATTTTAGATGTCCTAATGTACATCTAAACACCCTTCTGACCGTCCCTACAGTAGTTTCTGGTAAAAGTGTTTTCTACTAACCGGGGTTAACATCTCTGCTGGATAATGTGTCCTACCCCGTGCATGAAGCTGTTGCAGAACTGGAGAGCTCCTTCAGTGACAGACTGCTGCACTCTACAATAAATGCACCAGGGAGCGTTTTCATAGATCCTTCCTCCCTGCTGCTTTAAGACTCTAAAACCACAACTGTACCCAACAACCTTAACAAGTTGTTACACTCATGCAGATTTTTGCACAGTTTCTATCTTAGTCAGTTAAATAACATGCTGCTGTCATTTTGCACATCTCTCATGTTGCTGCTATTTTCAAATATCCATTACTTTAAAAATGTCCATAGCTGTATATTGGTTATTTATTCTCAAGCTGCACAGTTTTATATTGTGTTTAACAATATAAGTGTTTTAACAAAACAAAACTGTGACTAGCTGCACAGTTTTATATTGTTAAAACGCTTTACAGCTCAGTATTATATTATTTTTTATTATTTAACACTTTACTGCCGTAGTATGTTATTTTTATACATTTTTCCAAGGTTCATATTTATGTCACCATTATTTTCTATAATCTTTTTTGCTGCTGTAAACGCAAGAATTACCTCATTGTGGGACAATAAAGGGATTTTCTATTCCATTTTATTTACTTGATTTCTTTTTGTCAAAAAGTGAAATTTGTTTTACTGTCTAAAGATTTAAGTTTTACAAAACGAGTAAATTAATCTTTTTATCTGTTTATTTATCACTAAGTTTCATTTCCAGTAGTAATTTTTCAAGGAACTTGATTAATTCTGCAATTTATTCTATTCGCTTCTAGTTTTTTAGAGTGAAAAGATGTACACTGCTGTTATAACAGTTATAATATTATCAATTTGGTCTTTAAAGTCTCTAATTCTGAATTAAATGTGAAGTTTTAATAGGGTTATTACCTTGACAGTGAGAATTCCTCTATTAAGGTGGCATACAGGAATGATTCGCCACTTTTGGTTTGGTATAAACTTTAATTAAAAAAAATATATAATTTCTTGCAGAGGGGTGTAAAAAAGTTTCCAGGAAAAAAAGAAGGGCGTTCAGGTGCTGAAAGAAGCTGATTGTGCAGTAAAGCTCTGAGGTTGGTTGCAGGCACAAACTAATGAGCTAAAGCTAGCTCAGCACTCACCTGACCACCAGAAAAAATGACTGGGGTGGAGGCAGGCTTTGGGCGGTATGGGATAGTGGCACCTTTTGGTGGAGACTAAAAGAGACAGAAAGAGAAAGCAGGATTAGTTTGCTTTGTAATCAAAATCCATGTTCCCAACTATAAGAGGTATTTCCTTGCAAACATTTTCCAAACACCATCCTGTTGTGAATTTTTGGATTTTAACAAAAACAGCAGAACTTTTTAAGGATAAAATGTATTTGCTTAGTTTAGAATAGAGGAATAATTTGTTTTTATTCTTCACTTTACTGTTTCAGATTTCTTTGAGGAGGGATAAGATGAGGTTTGTCTCTGAAAACTGCAATTATCTCTGTAAATCTGAGGTTAGAGGGATAAATCTTTAGTTAGAATATTCCAGTTATCCTGAGCTATCTCTATAGTTCTGGTTCTATAGGTTTAGTGTGCTTGAGGACATAACAGGCAGTTTTCATCACTCTCCTTCATACCTCCTACACCTTCTACCAAATTTTGCAATATTTGTTAATGAAAAACTTAAAATTAAATTTGAATTTCAACGTCTATATCCAGAATCCAAATTTGGAGAAATCCTTTCTGCTTACAGCTATCAACATCTACAACAACTTGTTGAAGAACTATGAGGTACAACATCATCTTCCTAGAGGATGAATACATGTTTTTGAATTTAATTCTGACTGTATCTTTTCATGTTTTGTTCCGTTTGTTACTGCCGTCAACAACTTATATTATAGATTTCATAGTTTGGTCTGTTTTTCCGTGTTTTGTCTTGTTTCCCTAACAGACATATCTCTGGACTCAGCTTTTATTGTGACTAACTATATGTACTTTCTTCATTCTGGTTGACATGAAAACCGGATTAGAGTTAATCTGTTTCACTTTTTCTTCTTAATAGATCCACATACTGTATGGAGCTAGTCTACAATTCCCCTCTCTAACAGAAAAAATATTTATGGATCAATCCATCTAGTTCCTTTTGTTTGTTTGCTGCTTTCTCCTTGAAACTGCAGTCAGCAGCTGCAGAAGGCCGCTCACACTGAGCCTAGTTCTACTAGAGGTTTCTCCTTCTAAAAAGGAGTTTTTCCTCTCCACTGTTGCTCCCTGCATGCTTATTGTGAAGGATTGCTGCAGTCAACACCACAATACAAGCAATTGTCTGCTGTCTCTGTATGCTCTTTCAGGAGGAGCGTATTCCACAAAGTCAAGGGGATTATTAAATTAAATTTGTTTCCTTTGATAAAAAGAAATTTGGAACCAAACTCACTGTATGATTAGACTGAATTGTCTTTGTAAAGTGTGTTACACTGCAAAAAAATATCTAAAATTAAGTACTAATTCTTAAACATAGTGTATTCTCCCTTAATTTGAGTAGGTAAATAAAGATAATCTGCCAATGGAATGAGTATTTTTACATTTAGAATAAGATAAGTGTATATTATGGTTGTTTTTTTTTTATTATTTTAAATGTAAATGATCTTATTTCCTTAGCAGTCTCACTTACATGCTTAATTCAAGAAAAAATCTCATTATCTTAAGATCTTTAGAACAACTGACCTACTTAAATTTTTTGCAGTGTAATATTTAAATTAGTGCATATAAATTAAACTGAACTGAATTCAATTGACTTAATGGATCAAAGTCAGCACACTGTATGTCAGATACCATAGCAAGGGTACCTGCTGAAAATATTAGTAGGTGTAACACCGGTTAGCTGCTAAATCAACATTAATGTGTTGAGGTTGAGAAAATAAGTAAAGTATACTGTCAATGTAAAAATGAGAGTTGATGTAAATACTTAAAAATGGAATAAAAATTTGTTTCTTTGTGCTTCATTCTCTGAGAAGCATAGCTATTCTGAGCTAGACATTATCTCACAAGATAATGTTTACAGAATGAAACATTCTCTCACCAAACTGAGCTTTTAGTGGATCTTAACGTAATCCACCTCACAGCACCTTAACAATCCAGAACTAGTAGATGATACTAATAACTACAGACATTTTGCTTTATTTAAACCCTGTTAACTCTACTTAAAAAGCACACAGAATTACAACCATCTAGGATGGAAGGTTCATATATATGATCCAAATATATGTTTATGTTTTTTGCAGTTAATTATTAGTAGAATATGCAGTTAATTTTAATTCATTTGTTAAGGATTTAACCAGTTCCATCAGTAACATTTCTAATTAAATTGATCTCCTTTGCATAAATGCATGATTGGGTTTAAGCCATGACAAACAAAATCTCTCAATGTTTTAATTTTCTCCCAACTCAATAGACCATTTAGATTTCATCCTTTTTCTTAAATTTTGTGGGGAGATAGTTTTTGCCACATGCTAACATCTTTATCAAGATAACTTTCAGTGGTTTTATACCTTCCATTAAGATCATGAAGTGTTTTCTGTTGTTTTTTTCTTTACAGAATGTTATATTACATTGAACAAAGAGACAATACCAGGAAATAATCCACATGAGGCCATAGGGTTTACAGGAAGAAGTTTGTTGTGCTGTTTTCAAGGTAAAGACCATTTTTCTTCAAAGTAAAAAGAAACAAACAAAGACCTTGCACCTGCTCTCTAACTATATGCATCACCACTGTTCTGTTATTCTGCCCAATCCATCATTGTCTTTCCATACTCAGCAGTACTGTGCTTTTAGGTATAATGAAGCAGAGCTCCACTTTTGAAAATTACAACAATCAGAATGAATTCTGATTCATGCTGCCTTAACAGGAAGTCCATTCAAGACAGTGCATATAATTGGGTTTCCTCTGTGCTGCTAGGAGCTGTGTTCCTTAAATATGAACAAACTCAGAAACTGTTTGTAGAGTTAGAATCTGAGATTTGACCGTCTGCATTCTGGATGCTATGTTTTGTTTCACTTATTTGTTTTAAATGCAGGATTCTTAAAGGAATAGTACACCCAAAACATGATTAGCCTTCATTTTCTACTCACCCCCATGCCGAACAACACTCTGGAGTACTTTTTTGATATCTCAAATGCATCTGGAGATCTGGGAGGCTTCTTGCTGTCTGC